AATAATCAATAACTTATCAAGGGTTCATGAGGGAGTGGCGTGGGGGAGGGGAGGAAGAAATGGGGAGCCGATATCAAGGGCTCAAGTGGGAAGAGAATGCTTTGGACATGATGATGGTGGCATATGTGAAAAGGTGCTTGAAACACTGGATGAATGTATTGATTGTAATGAGACATGAGCCCCCAATAAAAGTATTTGGGGGAAAAATGCATACTTAAAGAGAATTCTACCTTGATTCTCATGAAATGTAATGAACACATTAAATACCTATGCAATCATAATGATCTTATATTTATCATTAATTTCTTTTTTATTAATCATTTTATTAGAGGTTCTTACAGATCTTATAACAATCCATAATTCAATTGTAGCAAGCACACTTGTACATATGTTGCCATCATCATTTCCAAAACATTTTCTTTCTAATGAAGCCCTTGGTATCAGCTCCTCTTTTTTCCCCTCCCTCCCCCCACCCTCTGTTATTTCGTATCTTACACCTTCTGTTGTCTCCCTTCACCCACCTTTCTATCATTCATACCCTGGGTGGGGAGGCTAACATATCCGCCTTGTGATCGGTTCCCCCTTTCTCCCCTTCCCCACTCCCTCCCTTCACATATAGCATCGCTACTCTGACTTCTGTTCTTGAAGGTTATATCTGTCCTGGATTCCATGTGTTGAGAGCTCTTATCTGTACCAATGTAAGTACTTCAGTCAAGTGGAATTTGTAAAGTATGACTGGGTCATTACAGCACAGGGGAGGAAGCATTCAAGAACTAGAGGAATGTTGTGTGTTTCCTTGGTGCTGTACTGAACCCTGGCTGAATCATCCCTTCTTGTGACCCTTTTGTCAGAAGATGTCCAGTTACCTACAGATGGGCTTTGGGTCTCCATTCTGACACCCTTCATTCACATCAATATAATGATTTGTTTTGGATCCTTTGATACGTGATAACTGAGCAACACCTTGTGCTCACACAGCCTGGCATTCGTCTTCCATGTGGGCTTTGTTGCTTCCCTGCTAGATGGCCATTGTTTAACTCCAAGCCTTTAAGACCCCACATTTACTTACGCACCCATTTTTTCTTCAGCAATCCTATCAAGAAGGTGAGTATCAGAGTGCTTGGGTTTAGGGAGGCCTAGAATAGAGGCCCCAAATCCATCTGCTATCTTAACACCTAACATATAAATATATGTACATTGATCTATTTCCCTTTCATTATATATAAACTTCCATATGTACATCCTGTATTTATACCTCTATAAATGGCCTTTGCCTCCTAGTTCTTTCCTCTATTTCCTTTCACCTTCCGCCTGTCCCACTATCATGCTCACGCTCCATTTGACTCTCAGCAATTCCTGTCAGATACATTGCACTTGATCAAACCCCACCAGGCATTCAGTTCTAGGTCCCTTATTGTCCCCTTGTCCCTGAGTTGTCCCCACACCCCCTCCCCACCTCCTTTACTCCCATGTTCCCCCAGAATCACGAGTCCTGTTGTTTTCTCCTCAGGATTGTTCATCCTCCCTATCTATATAGAGAAAAAGAAAAGAAAGAAAGAAAAACAAAAAGCCTATCAATAGTCCAGGTCTGTCTGCTGACCCTTATAAATGCTTTCCAATTGGGTCTGATGAGGGACCAGGCCTTGCCCCCCAAGTCAGAAGTCTGTTTTTGGATTCCTCAGAGACTCATTACTTTGCTCTCCTTGCTGCCCTGTTGTGCTCCCTTTCTGTTTCACTCTGCTGTTTGTATGTGTTTGTGGCGGTGGGCAGGGGGGTGGGGGAGGGCAACTTGGGGGGAGGAGGAATTCAGACCAGGCACATGATCTGCACTGTATTTCCAGTGCTGTCCTCCATAGCGTTGTGGGCCAGTGAGGCGACGTCCTGTCTCAGGGTAGGGCAGGCCCTACTCCAAGCAGGGATGTCATCCTCAGGGCTTGGTGAGCCACAATGAGGTCCACTCTCCCAATCTTTCTCTCTTAATTTGCTCCCATGTGGTCTGGACAAACCTGCTCTCTCCCCGGGCTATATCTTCAATGCTGTCCTCTGTATTATATTCTTCAGGGGAGGGGTCAACATAGCTCAGCTTGGGCCCGGCCTCATCATCCTCTCTGATAGTTCACTGCTCCATGCCGGTATGTTGCCCTCAAGGCTTGGCCCTCCAGCATGAGATCTTGTCCCTCTTTCGCTTTCCAGTGGAGACATAAACAATCCCCTCCCTGTAGGTAGATTAGTGCCTTGTTCCCCTTCCAGGCTCATTCCCCCCCACCTTTTTAGTTGGCTGCTGTATGCATCCCTCAGTTGGGTCCGACCCCTGGCAAGGTGCCTGGACCTTGACCCGGGAATTATGCATTTTTTAGCTTATCCGCTATGCCCCTTGTGATTTTTGAGCTTACCTCAGTGCACTCCTGTTGTACTTGTCCCTTTGTGATTGGCTAACTTTGCTTGGCATAATTCCTCAAACTCTTCTCATGAGACAATGTGCTTCATGCATTTGTCACTACTTTTTAGGGCTGCATAGCACTCCATTGTATGTATATAGTAGAGTTTTTCATCCATTCATCAGTTTATAGAAATTTAGATTGTTTCCAATTCTTCGTGATTGTGAACTCTGCCTCGATATGAACATTGGAACACAGATGTCTGGTCTTAGTCTGTTAATTACTTCTTCTGGGTATATGCCCTGTAAGGGGGTTGCTGGGTCATTTCCATTTGTTTTATGTATTGCCAGATTGATTTCCATAGTGGTTCCACACACCTCCAGGAACACCAGCAATGGATGAGAGTTCCCATCTTACCTCACCCCCTCAAGACTTGTTGCTTTCTGATTTTTTGAATTGGGCTATCTTTGAGGGTGTTAGGTGATCTCGCATGTTAGTTTAATTTGCATTTCCCTTGTGGCTAATGATAAGGAACATTTGCTCATATGTTTATTGGCCTTTCAGATTTCCACCATTGTTAAACTTCTGTTCAGGTTTTTTGCTCATCTTCTCAGTGGGTTATTTCTCTTTTTTTGGGGGGGGGGTTATTTCTCTTTTACATGTTGTAGGCTTATCATTAATTTCTGACAGCTTAAATGAGACATAAAGAAACATGTCTCATTTGTAAGCAATATTTTGGTCTAAGTACAAAATCAGAAGAGAGTAATTATGGAAATATTTTAAGAATTGACAAGTTTAGCAAGTGAATGATAGACTAGACAAAATAATAAAAGAAATACAATTACATCAAGTTTGGGTTTGTTTGGGGTTTTTTGATAGATGCTGTCCAATTGCTTCCAGCTAATAAAGAGAATATGTACAACAGAACGAATCACTGTCCGGTCGTGCAGCATCCTCACAATTGTTCTTATGTTGAGATCATCAGTCCAGCCACTGTATCGATCTCTCTTGTCAAAGGCCTTCCTCTTTTTATTCTGCCTCTCTGCCTTAGCAATCATGATGTCCTTCTCCAGGGCCTGGTCCACTGACAACAAGTCCAAAGTACCTGAAACAAAGTCTCCCTATGCCTGAGTTTAATGAAAAACCAAAATAAATTTGGGAATATGTTATAAAACCATATGATGACATCTGATTCCATCCTACAAAATGATGTTTGTAAAGATTGTCAAAACATGTTGGGAAATTCATGTGGACTATGTTAAACAAAAGGACAATTGAAAAGTCTATTTATGTGAAATTTCAAATGTGTAAAAGGAGAAAAACACCAGCAGGGAAATCTTGAAAATTAAAAGTTTTAAAGTGCTAAGCATCGTTATCTTTGGTTGGTGCTATTTTAACCTCCAGTGCTTTTTTCATACTTTTGTCTTCTAGTTCTATGTTTCATGGGGAGTATATGCTTACTGTAGTTAACAAATAGCATAGTCAGAGGGGTTGAGGGCTGGAGCTTCAGTAGTACAATGCTACTAATTGAAGCTAAGGAAGAGATTTGGAAAAGATAATATTTATGCCTAGATATTTAACAAGCAATACTCATAGTATAAGATCTCCAAGGTATTATTCATAGATACTTGTCAAAAATTAATTCTCAGATCTACAAAGATTCCTAACGAGTACTTTTTAAAGTACACATTCTGATTAAATTACTTTAATATACATACCAAAAATGATCAAAATCATAATCAATAATGTAGGACAAACATGATCAAGGGATCAAGTGTGAGTCATATAATTAAGATAAATATGTTTGCATATTATAAATCCCTTCAATATTTCCAATCGACACCATAGAAAGTTGCAGAAGTGAATGGAAATTTATTGAATTTCACTCCTTGTATATTTTAAATATAAATTTATTGGTTAAAAACATAATTTCAAAGATGCCTTCACCATTACTTTTAAAATTAGAAGAGGAAACAAATATCTGAAGGATATTGGTGAAAATTTGCACAGCCCAACAATTTTTTTTTTCTTGATGTCTGGTTTTAAGGCCTGTTCCTGGAGTTTTGGGGGTGCTTTGGATAAACCCTATCACTTCTAGTTTCATTTTTTGCTCTTTTGTTTTGTCTTTGTTTTTCTTGTCTAGTTTCTTATATCTGGCATCACTATATTTTCAGTTATATTATACTAATTTATTAATTTATCATCCTAATTTTAAATATGAGAATTCAAACCCACAAATTATAGAATAACACACACAAAAAAGAAGGATTTGAAAAATAATTAGGTTTTAAAGTCTTCCAAGGGGAGTTGTATATGGACCTTGGTGGCTAGTTGTTCAGTCAGTGAGCTACCAGTCAGTGGTCAGTGGCTTGGTTCCACCAGTCGCTCTGCAGCCTTTAAAAGATTTAAAGGCTTGGGAACCCTAGGAGGTAGTTCTCTGTCCTGTAGAGTCACTATGAGTTAGAATTGATTAGATGGTAGTGGGTTCCAGGCACTTAAAGGAAGTTGAAAGAGAATTGTTTAAAATGAACAAGTTATATGTACATATTTTGGTCTTCAGCTGAGCTAACTAAAGCATTATTTTATTTTCTCCTTAATTCAAAGGCATATGCTGAGAGAAAGATGTCTCACAGTATGGATGCCACCATGAACACAGCCAATAGCTCAAGATTTCAAGTATCTGAGTTCATCCTGTTGGGATTCCCCGGCATTCATGAATGGCAACACTGGCTCTCCCTGCCACTGGTCCTGCTCTACCTCTTAGCTGTAGGTGCCAATGTCCTCATCTTGATCACTATCCACAAAGAGCCTGCCCTGCACCAGCCCATGTATCAATTCCTTCGTGTCTTGGCTGTAGTGGACATTGGCCTGACCACCACCATCATGCCCAAGATCCTGGCCATCTTCTGGTTAGATGCCAAGTCCATCAGCCTCCCTGAATGCTTCACTCAGATTTATGCCATCCACATTTTTGTATTCCTGGAGTCAGGAATCTTCCTCTGCATGGCTGTGGATAGATATGTAGCCATTTGTTATCCTCTTCAATACCCTTCCATTGTGACTGACACTTTTGTAGTCAAAGCTACACTATTCATGGTGCTCAGGAATGGTCTGTTGACCATCCCAGTGCCTGTACTGGCTGCCCAGAGACACTACTGCTCGAGGAACGAGATTGAGCACTGCCTGTGCTCTAACTTGGGAGTCACCAGTTTGGCCTGTGATGACATAACCATTAATAGGTTCTACCAATTAGCCTTGGCATGGATTGTGGTAGGGAGTGACATGTGTCTGGTCTTTGTTTCCTATACTTTGATTCTTCGCTCAGTCCTGAGACTGAACTCTGCTGAAGCAACATCAAAGGCCCTCAGTACCTGCAGTTCCCACCTCATCCTCATCCTCTTTTTCTATACAGCCATTGTTGTAGTAACTGTCACCCACCTGGCAGGGAGAAGGGTTCCACTCATTCCTGTTCTCCTCAATGTGCTACACAATGTCATGCCTCCAGCCCTTAACCCCATGGTCTATGCCCTTAGGACCCAGGAACTCAGAGCCGGCTTCCGGAAAGTGCTTGGATTGGGTATTGATGCGTCCAGGAAGTAACCCAACTTTAAATGACCAAATATTATATCTGGTTTATGTAAAAAAAAGGGCAGGCTTTGCAGTCCAACCATCCTGGGATGGAATCCTACTTCTTCCATTTTCTAAGAACATTGATTCAAATTTAATTATCTTACATTCCATATACTTTGGCAAAGACAATGTTCTAAACATTGTACAGATATGAACTCATTTAGTTCCTAAAACAACTTTTCAAACTAAGCACACTATTTTTAGACTTCATAATTTAGATATGAGGTTAAATAGGAAGAAAACAAAGTCATGTTCCATAGTCCCTGCTTTTAGCCCTCTCTATCTCCCCTCCACGCTAATTTTAAAATATATAAAATTTTAATTAAGTGAGGGTATATGTAAAGTCTTTTAATTGTCTTTCCTTCACCAAAGTTAGTATTTATCTACCTGTAACTTAGTGAGTTAAATTCCTTTCCCCTTGTCCAAACCACCTCAAATAATCACCTATGAATTCTCTTTTTACATCTAAAGACTTTACTTGACTTATAACAACAGTAGTCTCATACAACATATGTCATTTAGTGATGGATTATTTCATTCAGCATAATGTCCTCCAGGTTCAGCCATGATAAATAAGCTACCAATTCTTGAGACAATTTGAATGAGAGCACCAAGAAATATATCTTAGTACTTAATGTTACTTGAATTTATGAATAAACTAAGAATATACTAGTTGGTTTTATGGGGGAACGAGTTACAGTTCTCAGAAACCCACGGGGACAGAGCTACCCTAACCTATAAGGTTGTTAAGAGTCAGAATTAACTCAATTGCAATTTGGTTTGGTTTGAGTGTTTTATGGTTTGATGGGAATGAAAGAAAGCCAACGGCCTCTAAAGGAAGCAAAAGATAAATGATTAGGAGCTGGGGATAGCGAGAATGGAGGATTGGAAAATTGTTTTATTTCCATATCAAAATACAGATCACTACTTTGGGTCTCTACTAAATTCTCACCTAAGTACAGGAACCGTTTGTTCTACTAATATGTCACTCTGTGATGCTCACCTTCCCTACACAATCACTGAAGACAAATGTGTGCATAAACAAATGTGGTGAAGAGAGCTGATGGTGCCTGGCTGTTAAAAAATATAGCATCAAAAAATGAGAAGCTGATCAGCCCCCATACCAGCTACATGGACAACTGCCCCTCCTCCCAGAAGAATTTACTTGAGAGGACATCACTGAAGCTGCAGCTAGGGGAGAGGGGCATGTCTGATCAGAGAAAATGGGAGCAAATGAAGGGGGAGGAAGAGAGAGTGGAGCACATTCTGGCCCCCCAGGCCTGAAGGACAACATTCTCGCTCTGAACACCCAATGGACAGAGTGGACAATATGGCTGATCCCACTACGAGACATGCCATCCCTTGATGGCCCAGGGCCCTAAGGGGGACAACACTGGAGACTCAGTGTCGGGACTGGCCAATCTAATAGAACCACTAAAAGCGTTCAGCAGAGCAACTATGGGAGCAGAGCAGGGAGCCCCTGAGGGAGTACAAAGGACAGACTCTGGTACCCCATCGGAACTGACTGAATGACACACCTAGATATCAAAAATCTATTTACAGGTTTTTCTTTCTTTTTAAATTTTTTTTCTTTTAATTAATTTATTCCTCTATGGGT